TGCAACACAACATTCAATCAGAACAAATAAATGAAGAAGTGGAGAACAAGAGAACTGGAAAAGAAAGAACAAGATTCGAGATCGGGGATTCCATACCTAATTTTTAGACCGAGAGAAAAGAGGAATCAGAACAAAGATGTGAGACCAAGCGAGTGACTCAACAGCGACATCAGGCAGCAGCGATTCATCGAACGAGGAATTGGGGAAGAACAGATTTTGATTTTTGGACTATTTCTTGGAGAATTCGGACTATGCTTGCTGCTTGGAGTCTGATTCGGGAGGGGCCAAAGCCCAAGTTTGAAAATAAAAGGCCTGTAATTAAATTTTTTGAAGAATAATCCCTATTTCTAGCCCAAAAATCAGGGGGGGCCACTGCCCCTCCTGGCCCCATAGATACTTCGCCCCTGATTCATCAGACAAGAACAGGCAGAGAGGTCCTGTAACAGTGAAGATCTCGACGGGACTGTACACATACATCGAAGATAATGATTTTCATTGCCATGTAATTCAACTCTAATAACATTATGATTTCAAGAAAACGAATGTAACTTAGTGTTTTAAGTTAAAGGTTTTAATCGGTTAATCTGGTTTCAAATGAAAAATCTCTTTGTAATTTTTTAGGACGTTACAAGCCGAGACCACCCTCGCCCATAACAAATTCTAGTTATGTAAAAAACGCCAATGTAATTTAAACAGAAGAGCACGATTGAAAGCCATCAAACTCCCAATCCCAAGACCACCAGCTTCCTTAGAAAAAATAACTCGGTTCCTAGAAATCCAGTGTAGTTTTCGTTCAGGAACATCTGCTCCCCAAAAAAATCTTGCACATAAGGATTCCAAATGCTTAAGAAACGATTTCGGCACCTTATAAATCGACATATAATAAATGGAAATACTACCCATAATAGCCTTAATCAAAGTAAGGCAACCACCAATCGAAAGCAATTTAGCTTTCCAAGAAGATAACTTCTCCAAAAACATGTCAATCAAAGGTTTCCAAGAAGCTATTATATTCATATTACCACCAACGGGAACTCCAAGATACACAAAAGGTGTCCATATAGCACTACACCCAAGCATACCAACAACTGACTGAACAGAGGTGAAATCAACACCAATCCCAATTAACTTACTTTTCATCAAATTAATTTTGAGACCCGAGGCCATCTGAAACACTTGGAGAATACATATAATATGACACACATTCTCCACCTCTCAATCACATAACAGAATAATATGACCCCCTCCACCTTAAGTGTCTTGCTTGAAGCTTGTTATTCTATTTCATGTATACATTCAAGATTACCTAAAGGGGTGTGTACAATATTTCTGATATCTCCTATCCCTAATCATTTTTTTTCAAGATTGCCTAAGGGGTTGAATTCTCAATGAGGTAATCATGCACGAGACGGTCATCTGCAACTTCAGGATCTCTATCTATCCGGATTATTATCGCTATTTGTCTGCTTGAACTTGCAATTTGTTAAAAAAATATAGCTTGAGCAATTGTTAGAAAAAACGTGAGCGTTATATATGTCTATTATAAAATAAAGACATGTCGTCGAACTTGATAATGAAAGATAAAGTGTTACACGCATATGTATTATCAAATGAATCATTTGAAATTTGTGTTTATAGGGTTGACAATCGAGAGAGAATTGATAATCTTTTTGTTAAAAGATAAGAAGACTAGATTGGTTTTCATAGAGTGTTTTGTTAAAAGATAAGAAGATTATAATGGTATTCAAAGCTCTCGGCACACATACTCGGATTAGGGTCTCTCTATTTTTGTATCGATGGGACGAAAAAAATTTCCAGCTAGTACTGCCCTCTCGACTTCTTCCCGTAGCCAGACCCTCCTAAGATAAAATGACTATCTATTATTTAGAACAAATATATTCAAAAATGAGTTGTAATTTAATTAATTTTGTCCATGGACAAAACACACACCATAGTTTCATTGATATGACAAAACGTGAAAACTCATCGTTTTGCTTGCCAACATTATCCTTTTCTCATATCATATAATCATTTAAATTGATAACTATTTTGATGATTTTGCTAATTTTTTTAACTATTTTTTTCGGAAATGATTGATCAGATTAAACATATATCTCTTTTTTTTTCTTTTAACTTTATAATAAGCCATATTATTGTAAATGTATTATGAAAGAAGGAATGATTTAAAAATATAAAATACAAATAATTATGGAAGAAAGACGGAGAAAATAATGAGGGGCGAGTCACCGTCAGTGCCGGACTGCCGTCCTTAACAAAAAGGGCGCCAACTTTCTTTTGCCTTAATAAATATTAAATACCGTCGCCAATGCCAACCGCTGGATCTGATTATTGCGTTTTAACTTTCAACACGAAAATGAAATGAGGTTATTTTGTATCATTTCTTGTTCTAAAACTCATGCCAAAAGAGCATATACTGACATGTGACATACACCTTAAAAGCATTTGCTAAAATTGACCAATACTTGGAAAAAATATTCACCAGTCTAACAAAAACATTATGCAATATTTTTTTACATATAAAAACCTTTTTGTATTGCTTTTTGGTTGAACCACATACCATAATCTTAATCCACCATAAAACTGAATATGGGCTTTAATTTTGACATTTTCGGTTCTGCTATGAAGATTTAATCCCGGATTTTTATTTAAATCTGGTAAATTTGCTAATAATTTGTATTAGTGGTGAAGATGAGTAATGGTTATGAAGAAACATTAATGTGAATTAATGTCAAGAAAATCAGTCTTTGTTAATCGCAAGAAAAATAACAAAGAACGGGATCCGGGTTATTCCGGAAAAAGAAACTATTTGAAAATACGGATCTGGATTCTGGACTAATTGAATCTATTCATAACTTCACATGGAGTCATGGGCTAATTATATTTATAATAAAGCAACTAAGACATTAGGCTTCAGCCCAATAATTGTGCAGGCCCAACAACTTTCTCCCAACTCCAAAAATGCGTGCTTTTGAACAGTTGAGGTGTAGATTGTTCAAGACTTGAGACTTGAGGTGTTGATCTTCTCTAATTATTAATATTCTTAAGTTTCTATCGATTCGAAATTGTGTAATAAATTTAAAGTTTCGGATTGTTGATTGACACTTGAAATTTTGATACTCGGTATTTTGTAATTTAATTCAATTTAAAAAAATTAAAATTTATAACGTTTATATTAGACAAAAATTGGTCTCTTATCATAAATCCCTAAATTGTTATCTGTGGGTTACAATTTGGTTAAGACAAAAATTACGTACATTTAGAACATGCAGGTGCAATCTGCATTTATTGTTTTAATTACATAGATGGTAAAAACTCCTTATTAGAGATTTATATAAGTATTGTTATGGATTAATGTTTTAAAAAGTTAAAAGATATTATAAATTTATAATCAGTAAAATGCATATGAATGTGAGTACATATATTTAAGATCTTTTCATGACATTATCTAAGTAATTTCTGAAAGAAAAGCAAGCATCCATATATATATATATATATATATATATATATATGTTATGTATGGGTGAGAATTTGCGTAGCATGTGATGCATCATCTCGTATGCATAAAAGTTTTGGTAAAACATTCGTTAAACCTAGCTATATGTATATCGTTAGCATTTACAGTTATAAGTTGTAGACGATATCACATGGGAGCAATGTGCATAACCTACATGCCTAACATACCGGCAAGCAATGATGGTAACAACACATCTTGCAGCTACGGTTTTTGTAAACCAAAAATCATTTTTTTTTTGTACAATAAACCCGTTATATGTGACATAACTGCATTTCATCTTTATGTAAAAATTAGATTGTTACGATGAGAAATGTTTTTAGTAAACAAACCTTGTAACTGGCTAAACGCTTAGTTCATCCATTAATATAGAGATATAAGCTTTGAGGAAGCATGCATGGTAGAATTACAAGACAAATAATATGTATATATCATAACGTCTATCTAACAAATAAAAAGGTGAAAAGTAAACTAGAATTACAAGCATTTGTGAACATAGTTTTCTAAAATTTCCGGTAGTTACTAAAGTGAATAAGTACAATGAATTTTAAAAAATAAATTTTGGCAACGACTGACAGTATTGAATGATACATCACTTTCTTCCTTATGTGATGCCATGTGATTTAGTGTGCATCCCTTTCTCTAACCATAAATTACTCTTTTCTGGATTTTTCATGCTTTTTATCTACTATTTCCATACATCATTTATTCCTCCAATTAAAATGCGTGCATTATACAAAAAAAAAAAAAAAAAAAAGTATAGTTATTACAAAAAATATCGATAGTTGTATAATTGATTTTGAGGCAATAAAAACAATATCTCAAAACGTGCATTTTGCCATTTTACATCGTCTGAAATAAAGCATACCCACCAGCCAAATACTGAACGATACTCGATTCATTTATTTAGTAATACAGTTTGGCAAATAGTAGCTCATTGATTAGATAATTAATAATCTCACTTTCAAATTTCATAAAAAGAATATTTGTTATCTTCTTGTCTTTATGTTATATCACAAAATTTGAAAACAAGAAGCAGACAAATTGTAGTCATGTGTGTTGGTTTGCTTTTTGTGGGTATAAAGTGAAAAATATATATATTATGATTCATGAGTTTAATGATACATAATCATTTAAGAGTTTGATTTCGAGTAAAAAAGGCCACACTTTCTCTGTTTTCAGCACTGTGTGCTTTTGTAGATAAAAATCCCACTTTAATAGTTTGGTTTGGGGCTATATCCCCTATTTTTGGAGCCAATGTTTTTATGGTCTCACCAAGCTCTTTACTTCTCTTCTGCTCAGATAAAGATAAGGGCACCAAGGCTTCAGTTCTCTATGCCACATTGATCCTGCAACATTTTCCAAAGCTCTCCTGCATACTGCACACCATCTGTTTGTAGAAACTCCTGTGAGATTCATCATGTAAGTTTCTGAACATAACAACAGTTCCATGTGATCTGAAACAAATATGAGAGCTTCAAGTAGTGTCGGAGTTGGTTTGAGTCTCGTTTTTGGGTGTTTACTGCTAGCGCTTATCGCGGAGCTTTACTATCTGTTATGCCGGAAAAAGAGGGTGACGAACACAGAGATTCAAGAAACTTACAGCAGCCCAGCGAGAGAGTTTCTGTACTTGTTTTGTTGGAAAAAGCCTTCATCTTTAACCTCTACAGGGCTAAACACAGACACCCAAGTCCATGAACCACAACCATCGTCATCGTCGTCATGGCTCCGACCACTTGGTGAAGAATACGACGACATGACTATCGAAACCGAGCTTTTGAGGCTACAAAATCTCTCAGGTCCACCGCGATTTCTGTTCACAATCAAAGAAGAAACAAAAGAAGATTTGGAATCAGAAGATAGGAGTACGAAAAGGGGTTCAAGAGGAAGGAGTTTAAGTGACGTTGTGTTTACAGTCGAGACTCCATTTTTCACTCCACTTGCTTCACCACCATTCTTGACTCCTCCTGTAACTCCTAGGGATTCTATTTATAGACCCTTTAGTCCTCTTCTTCATACATCGACTGATGCAGAATTCAACAGGATTTGGGCATCACCACCTCCGAAATTCAAGTTCTTGAGAGATGCTGAAGATAAACTTCAAAAAAGAAAACTGATTGAAAGATTTGGAGTTGATGATTTTAATCATGATGATGATGTGAAAGATGATGAAAATGGATCTTTTATCACACTTATTGTCTCTAAAGAAAAGGATAACATCTCAAGCTCTTCACAGGTACTCCCTTTAGCTGCCTCACCTCCAACATTCAGACCACAATTTTACAAGAATCCAAACTCATATTAGAGTTTCATTAGTGAAACAAAATGGGTTCTTGTTTGTACACATTTTTATGATTAAACTTTGTATGAGAGCTTAATTTGAACTTTTAATTCAAAAAAGCCCATTAGGCCATTACTTATTGATATATTTATTTAGTGATTTACTTGTGTATTTTCAATTTTCAAACCGCAGATACTCATTCTAAAGTAGAATTCTGGAAATGAATTAAAAATGTCACACTTTTCCAAATTCCCATTTTCCAAGAAAAGAATTTCTTGAATCTTTATGCTTAGTGTTTAGTGTAGTGGATAGAGATGATTTTTAGGGTGGTTCGGCAAACCTGTGATCATGTGAAGCTCATCACATCAAAAGCTAAGACTATGGTTGGTTAAACGATATTGGGTGCATATGGAAATTGAAGACACAAACTTCATCCTGAATCATAATACAATAAATCAGTCAGATTTGTTATAAAAGATAATTTATCATGTGCTAAATGTCGTGATATACACTGACTAAAAGTTTGAGTTGATCAACAAAATAAAGATATATGTGATATCAGAAAATAACCACGTTGTACATAGAGCCACTCCACCCCACGACCACGACCGTAGATACATGTCTGCCATGTCATCACCAAGTCTTTTGCGTGGTGAATATACCCGATGGTCTAATGAAGACACACATACACACACTCTAGATCTTTGCATTTTGTTTAGGAACACATAAACGAAATCGAGATCGTGTGTTATTCAAATTCGGGGGCGGGAAACGGGGGAATTTGGGGTCGAGATCGGGGTCCGGGGAAACAGACGAATTCGGGGACGGAGAATGGAACAACTATTTCCGCCCCGTTTAGTCCTGATGACACCCTAGGTGTGCGTGACCGGAAAATTCATAGTCTTCTCCGAAAACTCATGTTTGGTCGGAAAATATGAATTCTACAAGTAGTCAAAACATTTTACATATTTAATTAAGGGATATATGCAGGAAAATACAACTAATTATATATGTATATGTAAAAAAAACCTTATATTATTTTTATATTCAGAAAAACCATTATATTAATAGTTACATTGGAAAAAGACCAAAATACGGGGTTTTAAGAGAAATTGACGACTACAAATATGATTTTGCTTACATTTTTGTTTTTTTAATAACACATTGATGTTAATTATTATAAAAACGATTAGTTAAGGAGGGAAAAATCAATCGTATAATTCCATATGGAGAACACAATCGAGCAAAAGTAATCGAAATAAATGTAAGTTTTGACGTGTGTTTGCATACAATCAAGAAAATATAAAGGATGTGTAAGTCATATCATATTTTTAGTCGGTTTTTTTTCTTAAAAATTTACAATTTGATTTTATTTGAAACGTAAATAATAATATAATTTTAAAACATAAAAATAATATAAAGGTTTTTATGTATATACATATATATAATTGGTTGTGTTTTTTTATATATAATACGTGAAAGCACTTTCTATCAGAAAAATAGTCAGAAGTTATGAGTCTTTTTTTTTTACGCATCTAATGGTCATTGATATTTTGCCATATTACTTTTTTTGATAGTTTAGTAATTGATTATCACTTTGAACGTGGTTTTCAATCTCTAAAATAAATAGTTTATTTTGTGTGTGGGTACCAAGTTTAGGGTAAGGCCTTCTTTATGAGATGGATCATGGGGGACAACATTCTCTTTCAGATTACAAATTTAATCACTCATCTACTAATTGATTGGATTGATGTTGATTAATTTTGTCAAAAGATTGTGGATTCAACTCTCAACTCTCTTTATACTAAACACACTTTATCTACATCAATCTTATTATAATAACTTTTTTATAATATGATCTCAAATTTGAACATATTTTGGATCCAGAATTTTAGTTTCAGATAAAGTGTAACTATCTCTTCTCTTTTGTTTTATTCTCTATCAATTTTCCATTGCTATCAAGAGAGTTTGGTTTCATGTTACTTATAATACTTCTTTGGTCGTAATAAAAGAATTCCATATTAATTTTTATTTTTATTTTTGGAACCAGATGGAAACACAAAATATATACACTCGTTATTATTGAGTTCTTAACTTCAACATGGTTGGATATGGTTATATGATTTTATAATCTTATTGGGCAAATAAAACTTTTGTATGCAAATCATGATATTTTCAAATTTTGTGGCTTGACTTGTGTGTGTGTGTGTTTTCTAAATTAGTAGGTAGAAAGATGAATCTCCATTTGTTAACTTTCTTTTTCAAAAAATAAAATAAAAATATAAAAAAATATTATTTATTTAATAAGAAAGTAAGTTAGGTTACTATTTCTCCTTTTAGACCTATTTTTTTGTAGTACTTAAACTACTTATCATATTTTCTAGCTAAGAAAATATCATACGAATGAATCTATTTTTAAGAAAATATCATATTTTCTTATTAAAAATTACACCGGCTATGGATATTGTAATACATGGAGGTATATTTTATGAAAAATGGTAGATGCCAAGAATGGACCCATAGACTCATAGATTATAACTTTAATGGCATAACCTAAACTAGGTTTTTGTTATAAATGAACCACGGATTTTGGACCATAGGTATAATTCACTTATAGTTCAAGGACCATGTTTATAAAGCACATATAGTTCAGGGACCACTAAACGATTGACAACTGACAAGCCAACAATGATGAATCACACCGGGTGAAAGAACATGATATCAACAGTCAAATACTCAAGAGCAAGTTACCAAAATCACCTTAAAGATTAAACTAGTTTACAACTATAAAACCTTTAACTTCTTCAGTACTACCAAATAGAACCCTATAGTTCTGTTTTATACCTATTAGGCCCATACCATCAAATTATTTTTAACAATATCACATTTAGGTGGGACCTTACACTTTTTGGTGGAAATTTCAAAACCATATTGATTATACGACAAATAATTGTCTTATTTTGTGCACATATGATTGTCTAGCTTTGTTTGCATTCTTGTGAAAACCTCAAGGGGTTGATTGAAAAAAGGGAAAGTTGGGGGAATGGAGTCAGTTAGATTTCATCCCCCACTTTGACTTGTATAGGAAAAGTAATAAAAACAAGTTGGGAATTTGTTTGTGTTTGTAATGAGTTGGACTTTTACCTAAACAACAAATGGTCAGAAAGATAGCCCGTGACAAGGGCACATGTGGAATTCGCCGAAAGTTTACCAACCCCCACATCGCATTTGCAAACCCATTTTACCACTAATTCCCTATTCTACCCCCACTCAATTTTCAAAACATTGTACGCTTTATTTTTCTCATGTAATAAAATCTACAATTGATATGTAGGATTGTTATTCTAAAATTAAAATGAAATTCATGAACAATAATCAACAAAACAGATAGTAGACTCTATCATACTTCGTACAAATAATATTTTAGGACGTGTAATCTGAGTAGAGTTGAATATTTAAAATTTTACATTTTCAAGGTGATTATATAAAAACAAAAAAGTAAAATCAAATAATCAGCTATATTACATAATATGGTACAAAAGATAAAAGTTACGATGTGATATGTTGCTTGAAATCGTTATAATTGAATGTGTGAAGAATTATAACTTTGTACAATAAATAATAGATGAATAAGAGCAAATAAATACACCCGAGTAATTTATAGCAAAGGACAAACCGAAGATCCAAACAAGACCTCATATGTCCAATCATTTGTCTTTTGTGTTGTAAATTGTGATGTTCAAATGTAGTACAACGTCCAACTTCTCATGCATGTGGTACAAACAAATCATTACAACAGTGTCGCTTTAAATAATTCCCATGATTAAGATAATAATAACAATAAAACATTACACAATAAATAACACACAATGACACTGAAAAAGTGCCTGAAACTAGATCATACTTATACCAAATTCTACACTCAGAGAGTTGAGATCAGTCTCTTGTAACATGCTAAATGCTGTAAATCCATAATATGAATGGTAAAGATCCGGAAATTGTCCAGGAAACTTGCTGAATCCACCATACTGTAAAACAAAACAAAACAAAAAGACTAAATGCAAGAAATAGCAACCTAGTTTCATTTATTTGTGTACATTGACTTTTTCGCACCTTGGATTGACATGTGAGCAAAAATTCACGAAGGGTTTTTTCGTCAACAAATTTGTTAGCGCCTAATATCCTTAGAACTCCACCAATCCTAATATTGAACCCAAAAAGAAATTAGATAACAAATTTGAATTCCAAACTTACAGTGAAGTGAACTCACCAAAAAGCATAACACGTGTCACTGGTTTTATTAGGTCTTCCTTGAAACCCTCCATCAAGTGCTTGCCTCTGGAACATGAGAAAGATGATTTGAGTAAAAATGACTGATTTGCCCTTGGAATGGAAAGTGTGGTGGTACCTGTAAGCACCAATCTAGAAGCAATGGAAGATCTATGATGCAAGAGGATGTGGATTGCGAAATTAGGTTGTCTTCAATGAATCCCATTAACCGAAGAGATGCAACAGCACAGTAAGTTGCACCACCTGTGAGTCTAGAAGTAAGAATGGTATTTATGATTAATAAAAAATTCAGTTCTAAAAAAAATAAAATCAAGGAAACAAGATTATTATCATTATCACCATGAGACTCTTGGCCAGGGATTAGTCCAAACCCACCATCATATGACTGCAAGGAAACACCTTCTTATAAGACATAAGTCATATGCATTAATTTATTTTTTTTATTTTTTTTATAAAGTTTAAAATCAGAAATAGAAGGTGAACATATATACCTGACAACTCAATATATAATTCTTGGCTTTCTCTTTATCCATGCCACTCCAATCATCCAACAGAGATGAAATAACAGCTAAAAAATCAAAGTGGGTTATAATGAAATATCAATCCAGAAAGGAATAAAAGATTATCAAGGTAGCAGAAAGAAGCATGGGGGCTTACCAGCACAATATACAAACCTTAAATCCTTTTCTGCCCCTGTATGAATGGGCATGAAACTGACACACAAAGAAATAAAGAAGCAAGAATAATCAATACATGTCATGGAAAAAAGATCCAATAAACCACAAATGTAATAAGTGTTAGGGTTACCTCCCATCAGATTGTTGAAGACATTTCATTGACTTCAAAATTGAAGTAGAGTTGATAAGTGAAAAGTCATAGCCAACTGTCTTCAGTATGGCTAATGCACAGTATGTGCTTGCCAAATGACTGTTATTGGGAACTGAAACCTGTAAACATATACCAGAGTAAGAAAAATACAACTGAACTATAAAAAAATGAAAACTTGATACTTCTTTAACAGGTGAATTCTTGAATAGAATACAAAGTGATAACCTGACTTTGTACCTCATTATCAAGAGAATGAAACTGAGAACTTCTAGAACCATGAAATCCATAGAATTGTCCTGCAATAAACAACCCACGTATAGGTTTAGTGATATCTACATTGTAGTGATGAAAGAGAGGAGGAACATTGTGCAGTTTTAAAGTGGCAAATCCATAATTCATACCGTTGTTTAGTTCGGCTTCATTCTTAGGATGAGCTTGTAACGACAAAACCCAATTGATAACAGCTTCTTTATCGACCTAAATAATCATTAGAAAATATCATATTAATATGCTTGTAGAGTCAATTCCCCTGCAAATCTGTAATCCCACACATGTGTATTAATTAAACACTGGCCACAAGAATAATAGCTTCGGAATGCTATTATTCAGCCAACTGAGTAATTAACTTCTAAGTCAATTGCTATTGAGGAACACTCGGAAACTGAGAGTAGATTACTTCAAGCAACAAATAACCCTAATTCAGCAATATCAGTTCAAAAATCACAACTTTTCACTAATAAACTAGAACAAATGATTACATATCAAGGAAATGGGCGACGAGAGCTCACATGATCTAGTGCATGGAGGATGTGGAGACCGGATATGATAAAGTAAGCAAGTGTAAGACGATTGATCTCTTGACCCTCATATCCTGATGGCAATATCTCGTAATTCATCTGCAGATACATTATGTGTCGATCTCTGTCGAACAATTGAGCTTCTGAGCCTCGATCCGTAGAAGAGCTCCTAAGCAAATCATCATCATCCGCCATTCAGATCTTTCCGGACCGGCGATTGAAAGGTTGCGGCCGCTTGGAACCGGTGGTCACAGCCCCTTGATGTTAGTATTGTAGTTTGGCAGAAAGAACACCGAAGTTCTACAATTCAAAAACTATCACGACGACTTTTGACATTCTAAACCATTAATGTTACAATTAACTTTTCTAGAATTTAATTTAATTAAAATGCTGTTATTGTTTTAATATCAATTATTTAAAACTATTATCACAAAAGCGTTATCTAATTTTGTTGACACTGTCAAAATTATTTTCAGTGAAATTTACCGCATATTTTATCTTTTATACCCGTTGAGATATTTTTCTTGTATATAAATATAAATTTATTGGGAAAATGACTTAGGAGGGTAATTACCTTTTATCTGTGTTCACATATTGACAACTTCTTCTTTTTTTACATAAGAAAACAACTAACTTGTTTTAACTGTTTAAATTACACCAATATTACCGACTAATACTTGTTTTAACCGGTAACTCAAAGGGAAAATGACATAGGAGGGTAACTACCTCTTATCCGTGTTCACATATCGGCAACTTTTTTTTTGTACATAAGAAAGCAACTAACTTGTTTTAACTGTGTAACATCCCAAAAATCGTGACCAAAATTTCGTTTTTAATTTAATAATAAAACCATAATTGTCAAACCATTAATTTAATACTCCGGCATTGGGCCCCGCCTGGCAGCGAGCCCCGCTCGGTATACAGATCTGTCTCTCTTAGGCCCCACCCGAGGAATGTTTGCATATTAGATTATATTTGTTGTTTGTGTGATACTTGTATGTGTCTGGTAGAGAGGTGAGTGTGGGCGAGGTCCCGTATCTCATCACTAGCTTGTTGGAATCCTAAGTCGATGACGATTTGGAGACCAAACAATCTAATTTATGGAAAGTTTAGTTTATGGCAAGTTGGTCATAAGTTTCCCAGTATAATACAAGTTGGTTTGTTAGGCTATATATACATGTTCATAATCAAGTTTATGATTATGAGAAAAGATTGTATCCAATATTGGTTTTGAGTTATTTTCCAATTAATCAAAGAGGTGTTTGATTAAAACTGTTTTGCAATTACGTTTTATAAACTAGATAGCTGAGTACGGACAGGGTTCCGTATCTCATTATTAGCAGTGTATGTTTCTTAGGACAGGGATACAGTAGAATATGTTTCTTTATGTGTTAGCATGTTATATGATTGTATGTGTTTAGCGGGCGGGGCCCAGAGACAGACGGGGCCTAAGAAAGACAAATATGTATACCGAGCGGGGCTCGATGCCAGGCGGGGCCTGATGCAGGGCGGGGCCCAATGTCGGACTATTAAATTAATGGTTTGACAATTATGGTTTTAATATTAAATTAAAAACAAAATTTTTGGTCATGATTTTTGGGATGTTACACTGTTAAAACAAGTTAGTTGCTTTCTTATGTACAAAAAAAAAAAAGTTGTCAATATGTGAACACGGATAAGAGGTAGTTACGCTCCTATGTCATTTTCCTTTTGAGTTACCGGTTAAAACAGGTATTAGCCGGTAATATTGGTGTAATTTAAACGGTTAAAACAAGTTAGTTGCTTTCTCATGTACAAAAAAGTAGAAGTTGTCAATATGTGAACACGGATAAGAAGTAGTTACCCTCCTAAGTCATTTTCCCAAATTTATTCCTTATCAATAAATGCAGATAAATATTTGTTAAATTGTTTAATTATATGATTACGATATTCTACTAACTAGAGGGTTTTGTGCCCGTCGACGCACTGCTATGGTGCTATTAGGCTTGTTGCAAAACCCTGAACCCTCGTCTCTCTCTCTCTCTCTCTCTCTCTCTCAAACGCACACTTCTGCGGAAGACTCCACCCAGGCCTTGCTAGCTAAACTTCGGTTTAGTAGCTGAGGCTGCGTCGGTGCATGTTCGTTACTTGCTTTCTCCGAGTAATTATATCAAACAGTTGGTGTGCGTCACTCGCTTTTCAATATGATGAAGGGGAGCAGAACTACTGTTCTAACATTCGCTGAAAAATGCAAGGTATAAACCAAAATTTCTCTCTACACCACACCTGCCAAATGGGTATGAGAGTGACCATCGTATTTTTTGCAGAATATATTGGCGTCAAATTGGCAAGGTAGTCTCAATACAGTTAAGGCTGATGCTACAGGAAGGTACCGATCTAATTTTCTTTGCTTTGATTGTTAGGATTTTGTTAGGTAATGCAATCTTATATCGATCGTATGAGTGTATATATCCTAATTTTTAAGTGTATTAATCAATCGGTACGGCTTTGTTTGTGTGCGTGCGTGTGTTTCGTTTTACAGCAAGGAAGAAATTTACAGTTCAAAAGTTAAATACTTTGTGAAGAAGGGGAGGCCTTACATTTGGGTACCTGAAGATGACTTGCATAATGTGGTATGAATCGATTAGACCATGAACAATTTCAGACCACTCTGTACTTGTTTGTCAATAAAAGTTCCTTATAACCTGTCTGAGTGATGTAATTTACACTAGAATAGGGCTGGTAATCTTTTCTACTTTCTTTGATAATTGCATAATCTGAATTATTGTACATCATTAGATATGCCCTTCTAGTGTTCTTATTTGTGTATTTTTCTAAAAAAGAATACAGTTATAGATGAACGTGGCTCATTGGCTGTCACAAGTCCCTTACCAGGGTCACTTGCAAGTCTGCTTCATTCTTTGAAGAAGGTCAGTTAATTTTCTTTAACCTACAAAGCTTTGTGATCTGAGAGTTAAATGAGAGTGTTGAAAGTTGAAACCAAACTATGTTGTCTTAATGCAATATTAATAACCAAAAGTCTCTTATTTTACAGCCTCCTAATCGGATTGCTCTTGTTGGTGAAATTCTTCCACTTGGTGATAAAAAGGTACAATTTCAGAAGCAAAACATAAGTGGTCTATGTATCGATTTTCATGCCTCTTTAACTATACTAGTCCTTGATTCAGTTTTGATTCTATGTCACCAAGAGAATGTTTAAATCTTTCAAAAATGATAAAAACTTTAGCTAATACAAACTTTGCTGATGGTCTTTATGTTTAATTCTAGTATTATTTGTGGAATTGTGTCAGGCGAAGTCGGCTGCAGAAAGCCTTCGAGAGATGATAATATCAGAAGCAGAGGCAATAAAAGAGTTCAGTTATTCAGTTTCAGGTATATTAAGCTCATCTAACTTCAGATCCACATCTCGTGCTGAAAATCTCCAAGACCTATTGAATGAAGAAGATCAACAATACAGGATTTATAAGTTTAATCCAAGGTAAGAATATGCCTTTAGAAATCTGATCGGTGTTCTTTGTTACGAATTGCATGCAACTATTTCATTTCATATAAGTCAGAAAACACATCACAGAAAGGCCAAACAGTGAAAACATTATGTGGACTTGCATTTGAATTTTGATAAAAAAAAGTCTTTTTCCATGCAGTTCAATCAGTTACATAGAAAGCAAGGGAAGCAGTCATGAAGTGGATTTGAAGGATATGGAAGAATCCAAGGCTGACCCCTTGTGTAAGTGTTTTTGTACACATGCATGATATATTGATATTTACATGTGCATTTATTCCAAGGAAATTGCAACCTACTTGTATAGCAATGTACTTATATGGGTAAAAAAATAAAATACATTGGTATTTGAGTAAATTATTGTATTGCTTAGGGATGATGTAGTTGATTTTTATGATTATACTATTTTTGTAGCGGTTTTTTCTGGAAGCTTGATTGATGGAATTAATCAAAGTGAAGCCAGACGTCGAGCCCTCATAATCTTTTGTGCTACATACTTGAATAAGAATGTGAAGGTACGTTACGTGTGATCTCAAACACCATACTCATTCACGTCTTTCTAAGAGCTATTTTTCGATTATAAGAATGAGAAGGGCATTCACGTCTTTTTGCACAGATGAAAGATCGAAAGACAAAAAAAAAATGCAATTTCTGTCCCGGGTCTCTGATGTTTCACGTGTGCAGGATGCAGTGGTGGTGTCTGTAGATAGGAAAGGGCTGGACTTGTTGGGGAAGGTGGTGGGACCCACGATGGAGGAATACGAATGGAAGGAGTTGAGATTATTTTTGAAGGAAGAAGCAAGAGATGTGGAGACATTCTGCAGACGACTGGTTGAGATGGAAGAGGAATCGATCAAGAATATTTCAGCATTCAGTGGTCTGCCACTGGAAGCCAATGATAGTTAGTTAGGCTGTTGAAAAGTTTCTCAATTGAGCTATGTGTGTGTGTGTGTGTGTTTTGTTTGGATTTGTGTCTTGTGTATGGCGTGAACCACACCACTCAAAAATGATCTCTATTATTGCAATATCGATAATTTGTTTCATTTAGTTATTTTCTCAAATTATCAGATACATTTCGTACCCGGTTTTGAATTGTGGGGTATTTTCCTAATATTTAATATTTCATATCCTCTGTTATTTGATTTATTTCAAAAATGACATTTGATTGTGGCATGCCGTAAAAATCTTCCACTGGCGGAGCATCCATAACCAATGTAATCGTTCTGAAGGTGTTGCCTCCAAAGCAAAATCCAAAAATTTGGCAACATTTCAATTTGTGTACAAACAATGATTTGGTTCCTTGTAAGGATTTAATTTCGTTTTAAACATAAAATTACATATTTTTAGGCTTTCGAACTTATATAGGATGTATTAAATATTTTGGGAATACTTGTATCAAATCTAATGCAACTTTTCGACTTGTATACAAACAATGAGTTGGTTCTTTGGTAGGATTTAATCTTGTTGTAAACATAAAATCGAATATTGTTTAGGATTTGGAGCTTATAAGAAGTATTAGATAATTTCGGAATAATCGTAAGAATCTAATTCAACCTTTTAATCTTATTTTAAGAGGTTATTTGGATTAGGGTTAGTTAGGTTAGATCTAGTTAAAAAGATTGTTTTGACTAGATGCCAAAAATGATATTATAACTTGTTAATATTACTTAATACCAATTTTGGTTAAAAAAATATCTAAACATCAATTCACAATTGATTGTTGAAACAAGCAAGGAACCATAATTTTTTTTTATTATTATTTTATTTCTTTTAATAACCCTCCTCTTTTATTTTAATTGTCGTTTATTTTTGGTCAC